CATACATTCCCTCTTCATATATCAAGGCTCTTCAGAGTCGCATTGTTGATTAGATGTTGTTGATAAGATTGTTGTATATAATGACAATAAGATTCAGCTATAATAATTTGAATTAACCTCATGCAATACTACGCAAAGCCATGCGATTATCTCAATAACTGAGAAGGCCTCAAGGAGCAGGCCAAAACCCATTTAAGTCTACAAATAGTTAATTAAATGCAAATTCCAGGTCCTGCGCAGGGAGTGTCAATCGCATCCAGATCTGCTCAACTGCACCTGCCTGATGCATCACATAATTCCCAAGTCCTACATTCCACTCTACACGGTCAACTGCTCGCATCTCCAGTTTCACAATCTGCCCGCCTATTTGCCAGAGAATACAACCACCTTGTACATCAATAATAATCAGGTAGGCAGGGCTCAGCTCCATTGAACAGTTTAGCCACTCACGATGCAATTTGCAGATCAGTGATATTAATCCGCTGCGGGACAATCCCCACTATCACCACGTGGTGGACGTGCATCTGGAGAACAACTTGATCTCGAACATCGACGTGCTGGAGGACACCTACTGGCTGCAGAACTTTCGCCTGCTCAACCTGCAGGGCAATCAGCTGCGCAAGCTGCAGGTGTACGCCATGGACAATGCGCTGAACGACAACGAGAATGCGAATCTCTTGCTGGTGAGCAAGAATCCCTGGCACTGCACCTGCAAGTTTGGCATGCGACTGCGCGAGTTCCTCACCAAATACAAGGACATTGTGCGGGACGCCCGGAATGTCACCTGCACCTATATGCAGGGCGACGAGCTGCGTCAGGCCAAGGTCTTGACCCTCACCCGCCACGACATGTGCAACATCAGTGCCGAGGACGACACGCGCATCCATCCCATTGACTGGCTCAACTGCGTGCTGGCCAGCCTCATCGTCCTAATCCTGGGCAAGCTGGCGTATGACTATTATTTCTATAGGTATCACGGACGGGTGCCATGGATAGTGATGAAAATGCCGTAGGAAAGTTGCTTAAAGTTGTTGAATATATGTTTATTATAGTCATGGCCAAAAATCTGAACAAATCCTAAGGAGCACTTTGAGGATCTGAAATATCGACTCACGATATCTCCAAGTACTTCTGCTAGTCTAAACATTATATACATATAGGGAATGCAGCTCAACTGTTCGATATCTCTTAAAGGTGCTCTTTGGTTTCAATATAGTCCATAAAGTCCAAGTCTTTGTTAGTCTATGCTTTGCCTTAGCATATCCTAAAATGTATTATTAGTTCAAAGTATTATTCGAATTAACATAAGATGATTCTAATGCCAATTGACATAAAGCCTAAATGTGAACTATGTACCTAATGCAATGGTGAATATCGGAATGTGACTTAAGAAACAAACTTGATCTATGTGACGCTACTAGATAATTTTTCTTAAAATTGAGTTAAGCTTAGAAAATCAATTGAGAAAAATCTGAATAGTATATATTTAAATAAATATATTTTTATAAATTTTGTTATTGCAATTATTAAGCACTTTTAAAGTAACTTTAGGAAACAGTTGTAGATGGAAGGCATCGGGTATGTTGCTATTGATATGTTACTTTCAATAAAAAATACTAAAAATCGAGTCTGACTTTGGTAGTTCATATCTTGCGGACTTTTCATCCGATTTTCAAGTGGAATGCCTTGTTAGACGCGTATTTATGCGTAG